TTACTTTTTTATCACTCTTTTAAGAAAAATGACATTAAGTACCTCTCATACCCAAAAATTGTGCGTCGATCAGCCTCGCCTAATCTGACTCTACAAGACAACTGGAAATCTGCTTGGAAAAGAGTCATTTTGACAGCGTCCTCTCTCCATAGTCAACCTGATTTGGCTTCTTCCTTGGGAGGGTAAGCTTAATATTTTTCTTAGGTTTCGTATTTTTTTAATACTTAGCACAATACTTGCTATACTATACTTTAAGCGTCAAATGTATTTATCTTGTATCTTAGTCATCAATTCCATCAACTCTGAATATATTATTTCATCACTGCCATCATAATTATTTAAGAAAAAAGTGTTTTTTTCGTAGCCATCATTGAAGAATTATATAACATTTCATTTGCGTATGCGATATTTCTTCATTCGAACATTTTGGACTTATCCTGATTGTGTATGCTTTTCTTATTGTAACATGAAAATATATCAAGACTGAGGGATATAATATATTGTACTCTGAAGACTTGCTTCTCAAAGTTAGTCTTCTTTCGCTGTACCTCTATTGGTTATTTAATGTCCTACTTAAAGATTAATGTAGGCAATATGATAGATAAAATATTTTCTCTATTCACTTAGGTCACACTAGTTCACAAAGGACTGACTGTTGAGTCCTCTGCTATTATGGATAGACCTCACGAGGCCTCACCGTTTTCTCTCTTAAGGTATCCCTATCGAGAATGGATTACATTTTCGACCTGACCTAGCTTTAATCATCATCCACAATGGAAATCTGCTAATATCCTTGAAATTTACTAATTTTAATTATTAAATATTTTTATAATTATTCATGGAATATTTTCTAAAAAACCTATTTCATGTGACTAAAATGGGTGTGTGATCCTTTGCATAAAATGGAGCTTTATTTTTGGTTAGGATTTTGTTTTAAATATTCTAACCCCTTCCAGCACATCGATCTGAATTATTGCCTCTTTAATAGCATGGAATTCGAAGTTCTCTTTGATTTGAAATTGCATTTACTTTATTAGTAATTTTCTGTCTGATAGCAAACCCACTTCATGCATTACCTTTTCATTAGTAAGTCGGCGACTGCATGGACATTTTTATCAAAACGTTCCCACTTAATTTCCCTTTCCCATTTTCATTTTTACTCCTGCTACCCATCCTCATGCACCTTAGGTCTTCGCCTCCTGCCCTCGAGCTAAACCTTCAGGGCAATACTCTCTTGACATACTCGGCCTCTGCTGCTCAGGTTCGTCTGACTTTCATGGCTACACGACCTCAACAGTCGGACAGATTTGATGTTGCATCTACTGACATGACTACTCAGTCTAGCTACCATTACCAATCCCACCCTAATCCCCACACTCATCAAAGCAACCGCCGCTGCCCTCTCTCCTCTGGTTCACCCCAGCTTCTTTTATCTAACCTGGCAAAACCTTCGGTCTCGCCATATACTCATTCCGCCCGGTCTCACCAAAATATTCGGCCCTCTAAACATCAATGTAACAATATTAAACAATCACAGCCTACTCGCCTGAACGGAAATCTATTCAATGAAATCTGCCCTGAAAAGGCATCCTCTAGTCTCTTTTCTGGTTCTTTAAATGACGCATGCACTAAAATGTCTTCAACTTCGTCGTGTGAGCATCCTTTATCCTCTATATTTACTGTAACTTCTTCGGATGAGTCACTCAATCTCTCAGCTCAAACTCGTCCGATGCCCACATTTGGCCAGCAGAAAACAAATTCCTGTCTAGCTCGGCTACTTACCTCTTATCCTCACAATCCGGAGCCAAATCTTGGATCCACTCCGTCTACCTCTCAAAAGACATTTAAACACCCGATAAGCTCAACAGTTGCGAACGAGTCTATTCATGAAGATGGAACTTGCTCAAAAATGGATCAGAATCTCAGCTCCGAATCCCCGGCCTCTGAATCTCTCAGAGGAGTTCGTTTTAATTGTATTAGTTGTAATACCCTCAACGATAGTGCTCCCATCGTCGGATTGCCTTCCACCAGTGCCTCACTCCTAGATCAGAGCCTTGGGGAGTCCCAAGATTTTTCTTGCATTATGAGCACTGGAAATAATGTGGCCGCTCTCTCACCAGCCATATTATGGCCGTCTCCGCCTGATAACTTGTCCGCTGGTAACTGGTTTTGTCCATTTTGCGCTGCTCAGTTTAGCATCAGTAAGTCTTGATAAAAGTCTCGTGGCTATAGTGAGTTTCCCGATTAAATAATAATTTTTCAGCTCGTAAGACCCCTAATTATGGGACCAATGGGTTTTCTATGCCAAGCTATTGCATCGTTATTTTGTTATTAAGGTTAAAAACTATTTTTCTCCGGGCAGCGTTTTGCAGTTTTATTTTTACCACCCGGCATAGATTATATCTGACTCGGAAAAAATTAGCCTTATCAGAAAATTTCGATTAAAATTGATATGAAATTATCCCATCACTATTGCTATTTGATTTTGTCATGAGATTCTCATATTATCGCTTTTTTTGCCAACTTAAGCTTGCAAACAATGAACACTTAACAACTATTTATGATTGTTGAGCTCACTTCTATTTCAAGTGAAAGTGTGAAGTGAAGGTATTCTGAGGTCCGCTACAATAGAAGACTATGGCGTATTCATTTTGGCCAGCCGTCGATTTGCCTTACTGTAACATTATTTGAGTTATATTCACCCTATTTCGTTTAAGGTGATGAAGCATTGGTAGTTGGATTCTCCCATAATGCAGCCCTTCATTACCTTACGAAATAGTGTGCATATAACTCATATATATGACTTATTGTAGCCTCGAAAACCTACTAAAACGCAGTGGAACATTCTTGTTGACGCTATTTCTAGCGTTAGAAATTGCTCAGCGTTAAACATCCTATGACAAAAACTTAGAACAGGGTATCATTCTTACAACCATATTCAAGTTAAATATTCAAAAATACTCACTGGCTTATTCCTAAATGTTATGTATATACCCTATATCTATGCTTTTTGATCATGGATAAAATTATTTGTGATTAAATGCTTGGTTCAAGTTAT